TGTGGGACATTCTCATAGACTATATCATATGGGTCCATGCACTTCCTCCTCTTTGATTCTATTAAGATCCATCGCCTCAAGGGATTGTCCACATCCACAGTAACTCTTGCCCTTAGGTATCCTGCTGTATGATCAATCTGAATAGTTGTTGCCCTTTTGTCTATCTGATGTGCAATCGCAGTACTCCATGGTTCAGCCCGAAGATTGAACGGGAGGTTGAGCACTCGAGCCCACAACTATAGCTTATCGAATTTTAACTCAGATGGTCGCATACACTCATCAAATTCAGATAATATCACGGCATTCTTGCTGACATGCAATGGTGATCCCTCCCACACACAATCCCGATCCCTCTGACATGCAAATTCTGCCACAAACATGTTTTCCCCTGCAGGTTTGAAGGATAAACCCTTAGGGTTCCCCCATGCCGTTCGGAGCGCGTTGGAGATCGTCTGGATGTGGAGCGTATGTCGATGAAGCACTTTCCCCGCCAGCATCCACTTCTCCTGCTCCCCCTCTTCCAGATCGTCAAGCACCAACGGAGTCGCCTCCTCATCGATTATTTCCATCTTGCCTAGCGCCTCCGCCAGTTTTGCCCTCGCCGCCCTGGGCGAAAGCGCCTCCCTCTCTTGCCGTCGATCAGCAGGCGAGGTCATCGCTGATCCGCAACCCTCAGTTCGCGCCCCGCCGAGCAGATCAGCGCGCGCCGCCACAGTCCTCCCGAGAAACCCTAATCGCCTCCTAGGGGGCTCCGGGTTTTTCGGAGGAAAAAAGCCTGGTTTGGAAAGAACATACATATTCGGTTTTTCTCTGTAGCTCTCATTTTAACGCATTCCATCATAAAAATTTACACACATGTACATCATGTCTCTGGGTATACGTGTAATTTTTTTAATTAAAAATTGAAACGTAAAAATATGAATTTGAATTTTTTTATATATAAAAACCGCCCTCCATGGAGCTGGTCCCCGATTTGACATTTTCGCCACTTGAGTGCCTAGCTACTACTTACTGCTTGAACCGTGACCGAATGTGTGTTGTTGGAGCTCAAGGAAGGAGTGTTGTTGAAATGGAGCCTGTGGCGTGCACGTGGTTGCAGGAGAAAAGAGGCATGACGCACAAGATACGATCACATGGAAGCTTACGGAGAGCGGTACTTACTCCACTTCTTCAGCCTATTCGCTTCAGTTTGAGAGACGCATCTCAACACCATTCCTAAAGACCGTTTAGAAAGTCTGGACAACTCCGAAATGCAAGTTCTTCGCTTGGTTAATCATTCACAACAGGATATAAACGGCAGATAGGCTACAACGAAGAGGGTGGCCGAACTGCGATTTGTGTCCTCTTTGCAGCCAAGTTCAGGAGTCTGCGGCGCACCTCCTTTTCCAATGCCAGTTTTCGGTTACGGTTTGGAATGCGGTAAAGGCGAAGATCGGGCTGAGCAATATTGTCACGGCGGACTGGGCGGCTATGCAAAGTGTCCAACATTGGTGGACCAAGATTACGCTCGCGCGCTCGTCAAATGGGAAAGGGATGGCCTCCCTACTCATGCTTATCTCTTGGGAATTTTGGAAGGAGAGGAACGTTAGGATCTTTCGGAATGTTTCCGCACCTACGACGATTATTGTGAAAAAAACATGAATGAGGCGACAATGTGGACGCTGGCAGGTGCCACAGGGCTGGGTGTAATTTTACATCGCGAGTAGTTGCTTTGCCTTCCCCTCTGTTCGGCCATTGTTTGGCTGTGGTCCTCGGACCTTGTTACAACTCTCTTTTATTTAATGAAATGACAAATCTTTTGTCTCGTTTCAAAAAAAAAGGCAGAGCTGCAAAAAGATAATCGGCGGATGGCGACCATACGACCAAAAACCACGCACACTCGTGAGAAAAGGCCATTTGTTCCTTGACGTACGAGGGTGAGGGGGTCCAAGCAAGCAAGCGGCGATGGAGCGCTGCTCCTACATACGGCTGGCACCAGAGTAGAGTGGCGACGCCAAAAAGCAGTGAATTACTTGTGGTTTTGCCTGCTTGTTCCGTTATTCAGTTTCTGATGTCTGTATTGTCGATATCCCTGGCTACCTAGTTTCGTCGCAATCCGCAGCCTGCATGCATGGCGACAGCAATAACAACAACCAAGCACATGGATTTTCCTAGAACCAGTGAAAGCGCCAGACAGACTACTTTCCAGCCGAAAAGGGAGAGCAAACGAACAGAATAATAAAGAAAACAAATGAAATGCGCGCGCCACACGCACGCATCGTTTTCTTTTTCCGAGATGCATCGTTTTTGTTGTTGATCCAACGTCCAACTAGCATCGTTTTGCCACACTCCCTGCCGATCCACTGTTTTTGTGGATACTCTTTTCTTTTTTACGAAAATGATTCAGATCTATTATCAAAATGCATCGAAAGTACAAAATACCTCAAACATAATATTGTGGTTGACAATGTTGTCCCTGCAAAAAATAGGACAGTAAGAGCATGCCTAGTAGAACCCTCAAACCCTCACTAGCGTTTTAAGGGTCTAAAAATGGTCTTTTTATGCATTTTTACGGGTTGAAAAACAAGGGCAAATATTAAAACCCTCAAACCCGACCCTTATGACGGAATATTCCCCATGAACGACGCTGTCGTTGGGGCATACCGTCGAGCACCTCGTGCACGACGGGCGGAGGGCGACGCGGGGGCGGAGGGCGGAGGGCGGGGTGGGCG